AAGGTGATAATATGCCATATTTACTGTTCCAAATGTGACTTTTGCTTCTGAAAAGTGAGTTTTTAACTCATTTTGTAGGGTTATTATTACTGTTTTTTTCAACGTTACCAAGCTTTTGGTAAATTACCGTAAATTACCAATTTTTCCGGTAACGTTACCGGTAACATTACCGGCCGTCGCAACCCTACGAGAGCTCCCGCCTCTACGTCACGCCGGTGTGGGGGTAAGCGCTCGGCCAATCAGGAACCTTCATGTTCTACCCGCTCTTCTTCTTCCTCCGTTGGTCGAAATACGCTATATTCGGTCACCTACAAGTGTCTGAATATCTTGTCACACACCTGCACGTGCGAGCATCATTTCACACACCTGCAGGTGAGAGACGTTTCGTACTCTTGAATTTCAAGTGGGGGGAGACATCGTGGTGGCCATACACGGGCGCTCGTACGTACCGCGGCCGCCCTCGGCGAGCGCGAGGTAGGCCACCATCTTGGCGCCCGCCGACTGCCCCATGATGGTGACGCGGTCCGGGTCTCCGCAGAAGGCGCGCGCGTTGTCGCGCACCCAGCGCAGGGCGAGGAGGCCGTCCTTGAGGCCGGCGTTGCCGGGGATGCCGGGCGTGTTGAGGTTCAGGAAGCCTTGAAGGTCGTTCAGAAACCAAACATGTTGTTTTACAGATATACGTTTCAAGGTAAAATCCAATTCAGGTCAAAATTGGTTCTACGGTTAAGGTCTAAGGTACTCGGCCTCATTTTTGGGGTTGCCCTGATGCTATGCTGCATTACCAAAAGCGCCCACGCGGTAGTTGGGCAGTATGAGCACGACGTCGTGGTGTACCAGGAAGTCCGGTCCGTACTCGGGTGCATATCTATTGGAGCCCTCGATGAGGGAGCCGCCGTAGAAGAACACGAGGACGGCGTAGCCTTCAGCGGGGCAGTCCAGCTGCCGGAACCGTATTAAATCTTACGTATTATTGTTTTGGGATGAATGGGACTGAAGTAAAAGGGGGTCAGAAGCGTGTCTGTCTGGCGCATCAACAGATAAAGGGCCAGAGAAAAGAGGGGGGGGGGGGTGGCGACCTCACTCCAAGGCCACGTGTTATCACAGATGACTGCACTAGGTGGCATGCCCTGTCATAGAAAGTGTTTTGATGTGCATGCACTCGCTTGACAGAAAACGGTTTGAATCACAATGCTCTGCCTCACGTTTTTACACAAAATAAATATACAAGTTTCTTCGGGCGAGAGAGCTTTACACAGCGTTGTCAGATAGTGTCGAGATAGTGGATCAAATCTTTAGTGTGTTCGGTTGCTGAATGATAAGAATTGGACTCACCGAGGGCGTGTAAACGTTGACGTTGAGGCAGTCTTCGGCGCCACGGACCTGGTCGTTTTTGACCTGAGGGCACATGTTGCCCTCCACCGTGGCGTCGCGCACACCATCCCAGCTTGCGGCCGGCCTCGGGGCCTTTTGCAGTTTGATTCAGCGAAATGCAAATTGGTATGGTGTATGAGTTTTGAAAACGATATCCATTAATTAATTAGAGATTCAAAGCGTTGCCTCGATGGCTTAATTACCTTAAAACGAAGCTCATCGACGGGCGGAGCTCCGAAGGGCACGCCGCGGAAGGCCCAGTAGTCCCTGGCGGCACCCGCGCCCTGGACGTGCACTCCCAGCAGGCGGCCCGAGGACAGGCTCACTTCCTGGCACCCGGCCCTGCCCATCAGGAGTCGTCGTCAGGAAAACAGGCAACTTCTTTCTTTTCCCAAAAGTGTACAGTAGGGGGCCACAACTCAACCAAAATGTTAATACAGGTTGCACGATTGCGACGGATTGTACAATGCACACCCTAAAATAGGTAGTTACAATGCCGATGTGGCGATCCCTTCCCCTGAGGGCGCATAGCTGACTTACCTGGCGAGGAGGAAAGACCACACGAACAGCGAGCTCCCCCAGAGAGCTCCCGCCGAGCGCGGCATCTCGGCGCACGGCTGCGAGGTGTCTAAAAGCCCCTCGCTGTAATCTATGTCGCGTGCTTCTCGACTTCTCATCTTAATTGGCGCGAATAAAGAGTCTTTACGGCCGAGAGCTCGTTTTAGGTGGGGATACATCGTGGATTTAAGAAGGAAGATCCTTATCTTAGCAAATAGTTCTTATCTGAATGTTTTTGTATGTAGCCGACCACTATCAGAATTAGAGGACGCATGTTTTTCAAACCATCAAATTTATTTGCTTATTGATTCCAACAAGACAGCGCTCGCGCTTTACAGACGCACGATGGCGCGAGCACGACTATGTAAACATTTGTCATTTGTCAGTCATATCTTGTCATAATGGCCACACTGCACAATATCTGACCAAATTTACAGGAGGGGTGATCTGCACAGCCCTTTTTACTCGTTTCTGGTCATACTATGTAGCGGATTCAAGGCGTGCGGGCGGGCTTGCCCAACGTCACTCGGCATGACGCCTTATGGCCCCGTTCAAGTATGCAACCCGTTCGCACGCCTGAATATGGTACAGTATAACGAAAAAAAAAGAGAAAAAAGGATGACACAGATCACCTACCCTGTACAACATAAATAGACATTGGATTCTCAAGTTGACATAAATATAGCAAATTCCCGTTCTGCCCATTTTCTTTACAGTATATGTTTAATTGATATGTTCTGTTTAATTTCATTAATTAAGCATTGTATGTAGCACACAAGGGAAATTTACTAAAAAAATTGAATGAAATTTATTTCACACAAAATTGCTTCAGTCAGTTCAGGACTAAAAATCCTGGTTGTTACAGGATTGCATGGAACGTACTAAGTCCTTTCCCATATTAGACATTGTTAAGAACGCTTTCTGAACTTCTTGATCTACTCAAATCGATGCTAGAATACTGAAAGAAGAGTCCAGAGGGAAATCACATTAACACTCTAAATCTGTGGTCCATATACTAAGCAATACACAATGGGTCAAACAAGTATAGTAGCAAATATCACGACCCTAAAAAAGTACAAAATATCACAACAGAGAACATCCATAAATATGTACACAATTGAAAAGACGAAGTTCCGGGTATTTTATTCAAATAACTTCAAAACGACGAATATATGCGAATATTTTTGATTAATATCTACGACAAACCGCTCTTTAGTGAAAAGAAGTAGGGCCCTAATGTTCATTCCGCTTTTAGAAAAATGACAGATTTGATTGACGTATAAAAAGGAGAACACAAGTCTTTGGTATGCGGGACGGATCTAAAAGAGAAAGCATAAAGGAATAGAGAGCAGTATCGTCGATTCATTGAAGGTTTTCAATTACAATCAGCAGTGAAAAAGTGATGGAGGAGAAGGAGGAGGGACGTACTATTTATTTATCCTTATTGAAAAAGTGCCACACTATAATGTTACAAATTTTGGACCTGATGCTTTGCTTGTTGTTGTAAGTTTTCGATCAGATATACATATAGAGGCTGTTCCATTTACGCCGTTGGAAGACTTCGAGGGAAGACAATCAGGGAGAGTGAGAAGCGCAACTGTATCTATTATTATTATTATACTCCAGCGGGGCGGGGACATACATTATGTTTTCTTTAGACCCCGTATTTTTACTTCTTCATAGTATACCGCGCGATTTAGTTGAGTTGCGGGCCATAGGAATCGTCCAGAAAGTACGTCGGTTTTTGTTCGGCAAATTATGCGAGCTCGACGCGCCTGCGAGACTTGGGGTAGGCCACGCCGCAGTACACGCATGCACTGAAGACAAAATATTGCCTACCTATCAGGCTCTACGAGAGCTTGCGCAGGCTTCTGCACTCGGCAGGTGCAGGCAGGCGCAGGCGATTAGAATGACAGACGTACTCCCTGGATGATACCCGTACGCACACCTGTACGCGGTACAGAATACCTCAGTAAAAGTAGAGGACATAAAGACATCCTGCCCGTGCAGCCCGGTAAAAACAATTTTTAGTACAGCCCTAAGTGACAACAGTTTTTCAATATACACATTCGGTGGAACTTCATTGAGCATTCATATTCTTATTACATCTCGATTGACTGCACTTGCTAGACGGGTGGCCTAGTAGAGAAAGTAAATACTTACACTAACATCGATAATCCTAACCGGAAATGGCACAGTACAACAAAATAATCTCTTTTTTTAATTTCAACTTCAGATCGAGGGCTAGTCTTTGGAGTAAACTAAAATTATTACATTTCACGCGGGGAGGTAGGTCCTCGGCTACGAGGGAGGGTCGGTGGCGTCGGGAGCCCCAGCCTGGAGCCCTCCGTCGTCGCCGGGAGCCTCGGGGCCCGCGGGGGAGCGGCCCTGGCCCGGTTCCTCCACGGGCTCTGGCGGCGACGCCCCCGTCGAGGAGGACGTTCCCCCGGTCGTGACGCAGGGAGCCTCCGTCCTTGCCCATATTTGCGTTTCGGTTTCAGTCGGGGCTGCTCGTTGAGCTTCTGGTCGCGTTTGCGCAGGTGCGCCAGGTGCGCTGCCCGAAACGCGTCGGGTCGCACGGTCTTTTTCTGACGCAACTATTTTTGAATCCATGACGAACGTGTCGGGCGCGCTGGGCGATGCCGGCGGCGCCGGGGCCGCGGGTGCCAGGGCGGCGCGTGCCGCGGGGGCGTCCTCCAGGCGGCTCGGGTCGAGCACGGTGTCGCACGGCACGTGGCCGTTGGCGTGCCGCTGCTGCTGCTGCTGCTGCTGCTGCTGATGCACTGCGGGCTGCGCGAGCGGCGCGGGCGACGTGGGCCCGCGGCCCGACCCCGCCCGGCTGGCCGCGGGCCTCGACGATGCCGGCCGCATGCACGGCGGGCACCGCGGCCGGCCCAGCCGGTTGAGGCGCGGCAGCGCGGGCAGCGCGGACAGCGCGCGACCCTGCAGCGCGGGCAGCGGCGCGCGCGACGAGGGCCGCGACGACGGCGGCCGCCTGGAGCGACGTCTTCAGAACAGCGCCCCCTGCTCGGGTCACAAGGGTGCGCTCGAGTGCTTGGAGCGCCGTCGCACGTCCAGCCGGTACTGCAACAGGAGCATCATCGTCATCATCTTCCTCATCGCTATGAGCATGATCATCATGATCATCATGATCATGATTGTCATCATCCGTCACGTCAAATGCGTCTCTCGACAACAACCTCTCAAACCTGCTCCTTACACTCACCTCGAGCAGGGCGTACGGCGTGACGGCCAGCACCAGGGCGGCAAACAGCGCGTACAGCTTGAACGAGTTGCAGGCCGAGGCGTGCATGAGGAAGGACAGCGACAACCCCAGGAAGCGCCACATGTTGCTGAGGGACACGGGGCCCTGCCAGCTGTCCGGGTAGACGCGCACCAGCAGCGCTGCGGGGGCAGAGGTGCGGACAGGCGTCAGTCAGCGCGACAGGAGGGCGGTGCTCCCAGCCAGCGTGGCGTCAACGGCGCCAGGCACCGGCACTACTTACAGAAGCTGAGCGTCTCCCAGATGGCGTTGCAGACGCCCCAGGCGGCCGAGATGACGTAGAAGAGGGCCGAGTCCTCGGCGGACGGCAGCCACATGAGCAGCACCATGATGAGGCACGTGTGGAAGGTGAAGCCCACGCCGATGACGATGTAGCGCCGGATGTGCTGCAGCAGCATGCTCAGCGTGAAGGCCGCCACAGACTGCATGAGCCCCATGCTCATGAACACGAGGCACACGTTGTGCAGCCCCAGGGAGCACACCACGTACCACTGCAACATCGGGCGGATCAGTTGTTTTCGTCATTTGTGCGTCGTCAGTTGAATTAAAACACATTGCCAAGTTCGGCCGGCTTACCTTGCTGAAGTCGGCGAGCATAAACCCCTGCTCCAGCCCGATGAAGATGGACAGCGGAATGATGAGCTGCATGCGCGCGTCCTTGAACGAGTCCCAGACCGAGCGGAGGTGCGAGGGCGGGCGCTCCTGCAGCCCGCAGCCGTCGTGGTGCTGTCCGGTGCCCTTGAGGTGGTCCAGGAACACGGCCGTCAGCGCGAGCCCCATGATGGCGCATCCCAGGAACACGGAAGCCAGCACGGCCGTCGTCTTGCACGGCAGCCGCACCAGCTTACCGTTCCAGGCCGTCACGTTGAACACCAGGACTGAGGAAAGTAGATGAATAGTCATGAGTATAACCCCTGCAGAGGTAAGAGGACGTTTTAACAACGGACCAACCGGGCCAGGCAACTCACACTGCGCCAGCGTCCTGGGCCGCGCCAGGTCCTCCCAGTCGTCGGGGTCGGTGCCGATGGGGCAGGCCTGCGCGCCGCACGTCCGAGCGCCGTCCTCGCCGCGGGGCCAGTACGCCTCCAGGATGGCGGTGGTCGGCAGTGCGGCCACGGCGCTGGACAGGTTCAGGTCACCGAGGGCGCCAAAGGTAAGTCCGGACGGTCCAGCCGTCCAGACGGCGTCCCACAGCGAGCCCGTCTCGGGCAGCGTGTACCACAGCAGCAGGGACGCGATGACGCTGCCCAGGGCCAGCCCGCCGTCGTGCGCGAATTGTAGCCCCCGCGCCAGCCGCCGCAGCACCGTCTCGATGCGGCCGCCGCCGCCCGCCCCCGCCATCACGGCCTCCAGCTCCTCGGCGTCCGCGTCCATCTCCTCCTGCTCCGTGAGCTGCAGCGCCAGCTTGGAGGAGAGCGCCATCAGCACCGTCACCCGCGCCACCGCCAGCGGACCTGAGGGAGGAGGACGATCAGAAGAGGACCTCGGCGTGGGCGACGCGGGGCGCAACCCGATACCTACCGAGGCACAGCCCGCCGAGGAGGTAGGTTGGCAGGAGGACCTCGAACGTCGGGTACAGGTGCGCGGCCAGGAACAGGGCGATGCCCAGGTAGCCGAGGATGAGCGTCCAATTGGGGGTGAGCCTGCTCACCACCGTGGGGCTCACCGTGGCGGACAACGCTGCCGCGCCGAAGAAGGCGATGAGCAGCAGCGCGCCCGTGTCGTTGTTGGGGTCACCTGGGTAGTTCCACGTCCACCACCAGGCCGACACGGAGCCCTGCAGCGCCACCAGCGGCATCAGCGCCACGATGAACATGGTGTGCCCGAGGCACAGCGCCGCGTAGTTGCGGCACAGCGTGCGCCGCGTGTAGACCGGGCCGAGGCGCGACGGCGTGGAGCGCACCTGCGAGAGCGCCGAAGGGAGGCACCCAGGGGGGTAGAGCAAGTTAGGTCTCATTTGCATGTTCCCTTTTGTTTTATTCATGCTCGTTTCCCGGTCCGTGTACGCACCACTGCGATGAGACGCCGCACCGAGGACGTCCCCGTGGAGCTGGTCAGCGAGTCCCTCTTCCTGCCCGGAAGCGCGGCGCCCTGCACCGTGCCCGATCGCTGCGGGGAGTACGCGTTCTGCAAACAGCAGAAATACAAGTAAGTAGTATCACAATGGCGGCGACCATGAGGACGCGGAGGATGACCTCGGGGCTCGGACACGCGACGCACCTCCACGTTGACGTCGTCCCAGTGGCCGCCGTGCGAGGGCCCTCGACTGTGGTGGGGCTGCTGCTGGACCGAGTGCGGGCAGCGGAGGGAGCGCGCGGCCAGCGGAGAGAACACCAGGCCGCCTCCGCACGACTGTGGACGAGAGCATAAACGTAAGAGTTAGCAATGACATCCCGACCTTACGATGTAAGTCAGACCTCACCGCTCCAGTCCTGACCAGGACCTACCTGTCCTTGGTAGTAATCGGCGAGCATGGCCGCGGTGGCGACGGTCGGCCTCACCCGGTAACTCCTGGTCGGCCCGTCGGACAGAGTGGCAGCCAGCGGCCTGTGCGGTCCCGCCGCCTGCTGCTGCTGTGCGTCGCCCCCGGTGGCCGTGGCCTCCTTGGCATCCTCCTCGGCCTTGCCCTTGTCCTCCGGCTCCAGGCCCAGGTCGCCAGCGTAGCGCTCCTTCTTGAGCTCGTGCAGGTTGGGCAGGGAGCCGAGGGCGGCTGGGCCGTGCGGCGCCGGGGCCAGGGGCGCAAGTGGCTCGAGCGGGGTGGGGCCCGGCGGGCCCGGGGGGCAGGGGGTGCCCGGCTGGGGGACCCCGCCAGTGCCGCCCACCCCTCCTGGCCGCATGGCGGCGGGGCCGCTGGGGCCGGCTCCTCTGGGAGTGTCGCCGAGGCCCGCTCTCGCGCCCACTGCACACAGAGCCGCAAAGGAAACATCAAAACTTGTGAAACAGGCGCTCGCCCAGACTCTTGCCGATAAGCTGTAAGGGCTGTTGAGCTGATGGGGTGCTGGTGGATCACAGTCAGTCCCTCTGCCTCCTTCCCCCACCGCCCCACTCCCCCCACCCTCCTCTCTTCCTCGACCCGCCCTACATTGATTCTGCGGGGTGGCCGACTGCCGCGCCGCGCCGCACTCGTGTGTTGCGGGGACGGCATGACGGGGGCCGACGGGGACCCGGGAGGAGGGCGCCATGAATGAGTAATTGCGTCGGCAGGACGACGTGCCGGCGCGCGACATCCTGGAGGGCGCGCTGCACGGCGTGCTTGCTGGCTGAGCGGGCGCGGCGAGGCCGAGGAGAGGGGCCCGTCGTGGCGCGCGGCCGGGCGTCATCGCCAGAGGTACTCGGCCCGGAGACCGAGCCCCTCTCCTCAACCAACCCTCCTGACCTGGAACGGAAGTCTTCCGTACTTTCCTGACTCGGAGGGAACCGGGGGGGGAGCGGCTGGCGGCAAACACTGACCGATAATAAGTCCGAGAGAGAGAGAGGGAGAGAGATGTTGGGGCGTGGCCCCAGGGCGGGAGGGGGGTGGATGGTCCGTCGCAGGGCTCAGGCATGACCTCTGGGCCCGAGAAAAGAATTGTTGCGAGCGGAGGAGCGAGAGCGGCATGGACGACTCGAGGGACACGCGTGGGCGTGGGTCTCCGCCAACGAAGTAAGAGAGTCGTGGAGGGTAGTCACATTTGATTTCTAGATCTAAAGTAAAACTATATCGCTAAGTGTCTCACGACGATAACTGCAATGAAAGTTTGATTAAATCTCACCTCACGACTACAATCGTTGTTTATGTGTTGTTAAGTGTGGCGGGAGCGGTTATGTGTCTCGTTTAATTTCCGAACGAAAATTGCCAAAGGGTGCGGGGCACATAGTCGAGAGTGCATATCGACCTGTCGCTAGCTTTGTCGACGAGTCACGGCGTCACGGCGCTAATGTATGGTCGGACGCGAGGCGACTTAATGCAATCGATTGACAACGTCACGAGGACGAGGTGCTGCGCGAGGAGGTGGGAGGGAGGGGGCG